CGATTTGGTCCTAGGGGTATATAGGCCAGATACTCCCTTGTTATACAGATCTAGAATGTCTAAATTTTTTAATTTTAAGTCGCTTTGATTTTATTGATATTCCGTACAAGTTTGCAAGTATTTCATTTTTTGTTTGTTTGTTTTTCAAATTAAATTTGGCGCATCTATCTTTGGAAATTAGAGTTACTTGAAACATTTGGTTTGTTTTTGAAAGGCTAATCATTCTTATATTTATAGCCACCCATGAGAGAAACTTTCTTTGCCTTAAAGATGATTTCCAGTCCATACTGCGCAGTCTCAGCACCCCAATGTTTGTGAGTCTCACTCGATGGAATGCGAATCGATGTTATTCGTTACGAACCGCTTACCTTATCTTTGAAGCATTTTAAATTCTTTTTTCAACAGTTTCTTTGTTTTTTACAGCTATGAAATCGTTTCATCAAGTGATGTCAGAAAGAACGAAGCATAAAAGTCTGCATCCATATCGGCGGTTGACTCGAACTCGCTTTGAATCACTTCATGTAAACTACTTGCGAAATGTTACATTTTGTGACGTCTTACCTGAGTCAAAACAAGAATCATAAGCAAACTCTCGAGAGTGCGCACTGGAAATCATCTTAAACACACACAAAAAATATGTTTTAAAACATTTTGCAAAAACATCTCAACGGATTCAAATTTTAATAGAGGCTTCAAGCTTCAGTCTTTATCTTCAGCTGAAGATCAATTCAGTTACCCACTATAAATATTGACGGAAATTGTCAATATTTGTTCAATTTTCCCTAATGGTCATAAAGTTCTTATCTATGTCACTAGTACATCCTGCAAAGTTAACGTTCCTTTAATATTTTCCGATCTTTCAGCCAATAAAAAAAGCTAACATCTTCACGGGCAATCCATAGGCTACGAGAATTCTCACTCGCTCATTGATCGACAACTACGTAACGCAATAAGCGCTAGGCGAGTTTGAAATCGTTAATCAAATCGTGACTTTCCAGGTAGCCAAAACTGTTGAGTTGCAGAATGTCAATTAGGATATTAAGTACAAAATTCAAGAAGTAGAAAAGGCGGTCTCACTAATTATTATATAATCACGATTTCACACAGACTAATTCTCCGGTGAATTTTCCTTCTATCATAAACAAACATTCTACGTTTTCTGTTGTAGAGTTACAAAAATAGAAATGACATCCTAAAATGTCATCTCCATGGCCTGTAAGAGGGTGGACCACGGAAAAATGAGGTCCATACGGTTAAGTGGTTTCTTTGTCTTTGTCCTGCAATGATAGAAACATGCTGTACCCATGATACAACGAACTTTACACAGTAAAAGCTGCATGTGTAACACTTATTTTACAACTGCTATATTCATCACCATGCAGTTATTTGTCTAACAAGCTATTTACGTCTATTGAAAATTAAACGTGTCTAAAAAGCTAGTTAAAATGGATAAACATGGCTGGTATAAGGGGTTTTTTTAGTTGTGTATTTACCCCAATTCGGTAAATAAAAAAATCCCTTTTGTTTCTGCTACTGTAGGTAAGTTAGTTATTGTGAGCCACAGGATATTGTAACATCTTTATTACATAACATTATTGCTGATATGCATTGGAAACGTAACGCGTACATAGTTATTTGGTTATCCAGATTTGAAACAATTTGGCGCTGGTGTCACAGAGGCGGTGTGTAATAAAGCAAGAATGTTCAAATCGCTCTGCTGAGTACCGGGTCAGGGGCCCGTTTTTCGAAAGCCCCGGAAACGTTTCGGGCCCGTAAAGCCATTTTTAGTTCATCTGTTGCTAAAAACGGGGAACTGTATGGGGCTGAAACTTCATGTATGTAGGGAACCTCTGTTCATATTGAAAATACGTGAATAAAACAGCTCTGTAATCATAAGCTTCGAGATTTTGCT